GGCCCTAACGCCTTGCGTGACATCTGCGAATCGCTCCTTAAGGAGCCAAACGAACTCAGGGAGAGGGGTGACCTTAGACTAAGCGACCATGTTATTCTCGCACTGTGCAGCGCGAGCGAGCAATCTAGCGAAGCTGGCGGCCTCATCCTTGACGGCCTGGAAGGCTATGAGGACTTGTTCCTCTGGCACGATAAGCAGTGAGCCAACTGCGTTACGTCGGCAGTGCGATTGCATCGAGTTGGCAGTGCAAACCCATGCAGTCAGCGGCACCAGTCCCAGTCAGTCAGAGTCCAATCAAGCAAGTACCGTGTGGGACTGTGTGCACCAAGGGCCTGGGAAAAGGACAGACGAACGAGTTACAGAAGTATAAATCAAGAGGCAGCGCCCAGTCACTCATTCATTCACTGCGTAAGCCATGCGGAAGAGCAGCCACAGCGTCTTGTGCGAAGGTGGTCTGCAGGTTGCCCGAAGACAAAGTGGGCTGAAAGGAGATCGTAGCCATAGTCAATAGTGGTAGTGCAGCCATAGCCGCTGTAGGGGGAAGTTAGACATAGTGTATGTGTGTGGTGGTATTCAGGGTGATCTAGAGTGAGTGTGTGTGAACAGTGGGGTTGGACACAGTGACGAAGGTTGGGATGTTCAGGCGCTGATGCGCCATAGCCTGTTGAAGAGAACTTGCATCTGCACTATGTTCTTGATTTCCATATCTCTAAGCTTTGAGTGGGCGCCCTGCGCCAGTGTGAATCTCCATCTGTTTGCAGGTGTGCAAAGTGGAAAGAAAGCGAGTCTGATTGCATTGGCATCAGAGCTGCTGACTGCATGGGTTTGCACTGCCAACTCGATGCAGTCGCACTGCCGACGTAACGCAGTTGGCTCACCACTTGCCCACTTGCCTCTGACTAAAGGCCCACCACTTGCCCACTTGCCTCTGACTGAACGTGAGACACTTCGAAAGGCCACTTCCGGACCTTCCGGAAGGCTGTGGGCTTGGCCTTTCGGGCACTGCAGCAGCTACGACCTTGGACTTTCAGGACTCTAGCAGCTACGACCTTGACCTTTCATAGCATCTACAGCCACGACCTCTACAAACGTGTGACTCCTAATCGACAGACCTACAGATCAAACCCCTACCGCTACACAGACCTACGACAGACGACAAACAACTACCAAAACACAGATCACGGGTTCAAACACTCGGGGGTCAACTCAATACTGTACATGGGCAAAATGAGGTCTGGGGATCGAACTCTAGGGGCTGCATCTGTGACTGCAGAAAGGTGAAAACCGTTTCAAATGCCTTTTAGAGGGAGTATACATGGGCTTTAAAGAGTGGGGGGGAAGGGGGGTATACATGGAATTTAAAGGGGATTGAAAGGGGTTTGACTTCCGAGGGGTATGTTTTGGTTTGATTTCTTGTTTTCTTTTTTTTCCCCGAATTTATTAGCAGTTCTGAAGTGACCCTCAGCCAAAAGTTGGTTGCATTGCAAGTCTTGACAACTTTTTTCGTTTGGGCAGATTTTTTATTTTTATTTTTTAATTTTGGCCCCTACTGAAGTTGCTTCAAATTTACTGAATATAATGCCCAGGCGTTATAAACGAATATAACGCCCGCTGTGCACTATATTCGTATACAACACCCGGGCGTTATTTTCCGGTGAAGACGGTAGCCCGCAATTTTCCACTTTCTGGGGCTCATATCTGTTTATTAGGGGAAGAGGGGGAGATAGACACAGACACACACACACACACACACACACAC